GGTAGAATGTAACCTATCATAATAACCCTACAGGGTAAGGGTAAGGGTAGAATGTAACCTATCATAGTAACCCTACAGAGTAAGGGTAAGGGTAGAATGTAACCTATCATAGTAACCCTAGAGGCCCGGGTAAGAGTGAATGTAGGGGGTAGAATTTTACCCAACATTGGAACCCTACAGGGTAATGGTAGCCCTGGGGTAGAATGTAACCAGGATGTAACATATAATAGTAACCCTACGGGGTAAGGGTAAGGGTAGGGGGTAGAATGTAACCTATCATAGTAACCCTACAGGGTAAGAGTGAATGTAGGGGGTAGAATGTAACCCACTATAGTAACTAACCCTACAGGGTAAGGGTAAGGGTAGGGGGTAGAATGCAACCCACCATAATAACCCTACAGGGTAAGGGTAGGGGGTAGAATGTACCCTATCATAGTAACTAACCCTACAGNCATGGGACAGCGCGGGCGGGAGCGTAGTGGGGAGCTAGAGGCTACACACCGGTAGAGCTATTATACTGTATGCGAAGTTCATCTATGACCAAATGATCTCATATGATAGCTCTAGTACTACAGCCCTTGTTGCCCAGGGCGTCTGTGGCAACAAGGAATATAGTACTAGAGCTATGACTAGATGGTCGATTATGACTGATCACTCAGGATGTCGGGTTAGGTTCAATTCATGGATATATAAAGCGCTGTACACAATTCATTTTCACAATGTGCAACGTGTGGAAATGTAGACAGCTAGCTCTTATTATCCTTGGGCCTTTAATTGTACGAGATATCGGGGAATGAATCACTTGATACCTTCAGCAGGCACTATACTTGATGTCGCTGCCTCTGTCGTGGGGAAGAACGCTGTAGTAGCTGCTGTAGTTGTTGCTGCAGTAGTAGTAGCTGCTGATGTAGCTGCTGGCACACCACTGGTCTGTCCGACAACACCGGATATCGTGATGGCAACCACCACCATCACCATGGTTGTCATGGTTGCTAGGATGCGGAGATGTGATCCTGCTACTGATGCAGGGCATCGTAACGTAGGCAGACGCTGCTGCCATCGCGTCCGTCCGGCCATAACCACACCGCGCCGGCTCTACCTGCACTATATCCTCCTCTTCACGGGCAGTGTGCCACTCCTCTTCTCTTGCTCTCGCTCTCTCTCTCTCTCTCTCTCTCTCTCTCTCTCTCTCTCTCTCTCTCTCTCTCTCTCTCTCTTTTTCTCTCTCTCTCTACCTCT